AGGGTATTTCAACACCTCAAGCACCTACTGACCACGAGAGAGAAAACAAGTGCCTAAGCAAAAGTCAACAACTTGAGTTATCTCTGTGGGCTCCAGCCATGAGATTTTATAGGAATAGGAGCTAGGAAACTGAACGGTGATTTTGATAATTTGCAGCTTGATTTTCTACATTTTAGCCTCATTCCATTGCTGCTGGCACAGGGCTTTTTCCCCAGACTTGTGCTGTGCCTTCCTAAATATCCTTCACTGGCTTATGCTGCCTTTCTTACAGTAATAGTACTTACAGTGGTATCCTCCTGCTACGTGATTCCTTCCCCATTCACAGTGTCTTTACACTCTTGCAATATCCAGTAAATGGCTGCAATATATATGGAGCCAAATGTCCTAATATCTTCCCGCTCTGCTGCTACTGTCTTGCTCTCCGTAGACAATCTATGATTATGTTGCTTTTCTTAATGCTATTTACATTACAAACACGTGCCCAATCTGCTGTTTACTGTCACCTCAGCCTCCCTCCTGCATAGCTGCTCCACAGCCTCCCCTTGCACCAGCTGGCTATAACTCAGGTGTAAAGCAGGGTGCCTCAGTACCCAGCTCCACAGGGGCACGGAGAAGAACAGCCACAGAGCAGGAGGGAGAGCACCATGGAAACAAGCCTGAACGGGGAAGGAAAAGTTAGGTTGTGCTATGGCAAACCTGTCAGCTAAAAAAAAAAAAAAAAAAAACAAGGAAAGAGTAATTTCAGCGCACTGGGTTGTGATCCCTAAAAGTTAAAGGTTAGAGAAAGGGGCACGTAATGCAAGAAAGCAAGGGGAAAAAAAAGGCAGGGAGAGGGGAAAGAATAAACAAACAAAAAACTTCCTCTGCTGACAGAACAGGTACAAGGAAAAAAGAATTCCCAATTTCTGTGCCTGCTTCCATAGGCTGAGAGGTTTTGGCCTGGGCCATTCCTTTAACTCCCTCCGGCAGCTCTTGTCACATGCAGGGCAAACTGCCACTGCTCCGCTGCCCGGGGCGGCTGGAGCAGGCGCACAAGCAGAAGAGTCGGCTCAAGGAATTCGGTTTATTTATGACATCCTCTTCTTCACGAGGAATGAGCCTGTGGCGCCCTGCGAGACACTGGCAGCTGTGGACCCTGCCTTTAGTCATGGCCTTAAAAGGGCAACTGTGCGTGCAAGCTCGTTGCTGTGCGGCTCAGCCCTTCCCCCCAGGGCAACACCTCCAGGCAGAGGGAATAACCGGCTGCAGGTCAGAGCCAGCTCCCAGCCCTGGAGAGAGGTGTGGGTGCTCCCCACTGCTCCTCTGCTGATGGGCTTGGCTGGGAAGAGCAGTGGGAAAGCTCGGAGGAATGAGCGGAGGAAACTGGCCTGCTGGCACCCGCTCGGGTGCGGCGGAGTTGTCCCATGGCTCTCCAAAAGATCGCTGCCATGATGTGCATCTCTCACTGCAGAATGATTAAGGTTGGAAGGGACCTTTGGAGATCATCTACTCCCCCAGGATCCTCAGCTGGCCTTCTTGGGCCCACAACCAAGGAAGAGGTCAACCTGCAGAGGAATTTCTTTCTCCCAGAGATGCAACGTAAAAGCCTAGTAGCAGGGTTGATCCATATATGCCAGGTCTAAATTTGTAATTTACAGATTTGTCTAATCTGTAAAGTGAGCGTCACCACTCACTAACCCAAACCTTGTCTCCGACAGCACTGCTAAGAGCTGTGGGTGCTGAAAAAGAGGCAGCAGGAGGAGCACTGCTCCACATGGCCTGGGAGATGACCTCTGCAGTGGCATCCCAGCCCTTGGCGCTCCTGGTAGGCCCTTGTTATTTTCCATGGGTTTGGACAAGTTGCACCATTGCTGAGGAAACACACAGTGCCACTTACCTGGCAGACTGACTTTTATCCCCACAGCGTTGGACTTCACGACAGCAGTTGGCCTTCCTCGTGGTGGGGAGCTTCTTCTCCAGACCCCCACCTCGCACCTGTAGCTGCCCTCGTCATCTGCCGTGGCGCCGTGAATGAGCAGCCTGGAGGAAGAGGCAGCCTTGGTCAACTGGGTTTTCTTCGGGAAGTGTGGCTGGGCCGTCCCCCATGTCACCGTGCCACCAGGAAGGACTCTGACCAGCTCCTGGTAGTCCTCCGCGGGTTGCTGGGGGTGGAACTGCCAAGCGACGGACACCGGCACCTCCTCAAGGGCATAGCTGGCGCTCAGCTGGCAGATGAGTTCGAAACTCTGAGCGTACTTGACGCTGGCAGTTCGGCTTATCAGCACGGCTCTCAAACCAGAATCTGCTCAAGAGGAAAAGAGTCGCTGGTGCTGGGCTCCCAAAGCCCAGCTGGTAACTGCATGCTACACCATCTCACTGTCCCCTCTGCCCATGTGGCACCTTCTCCTGCTGCCCCAGCCAACTCAGACGCTCCCTTCTGTCATCCAGCCTTGCCTTATTTTCCCTTAGTGCTCTTGATGCTGACAGGTGATCAGCATTAGCTTTACCACAGAGAAAAGCTTGATGCAAAGCCCATTCCTATGGTTTGCCCGTCACCTGGGTGCACATTGCCAGCCTAAAGCAGACTTTTCCCTGCTGTGTCAGTGCATCCCAATGTCAACACCAAGCGGTACTCTGCCTTATTTTGCATTCGCAAATAGTGTTAGTCTGATTGCCAGGCAGATCCCAATCCTACTCCCGCTCTGTTCTGCCAGTGCTTCTCTCACTGCCATCTGCATCCTGCTATCGCATCTTCTCTACCCACGCAGCTTTAGCAACACGGCCTGGTACTGTCCTGCCCCATCGCCTGCTCCTTCACCTCAGGTCCCCAGGCAGCTCTGTGCACCCTGCTTTCCACACTTATGTTGCTACAGCAGCCTTCCCAGCCACACCTCATAGCACCAAGCTGCAAATTGCCTTGTATGTCTCCTGAAGCACTAATGTGCCATTTTGAATATGTGCCCTCCGTGCTGCCTGTCACTCACCTCCTCCCTCTCCCTGTTTTGTTGTGCTGTTTAATGTTTTCACTTTTTGAAAAAGCAGAACTACTGTGGCCCACCCAGTGCTCTAGGCACTCATCACAGAAATAACAAAAGGAAAAAAAAGTTATAATCAAACCTGTCTCTCCATAAATGCATCCATTCCAGCAATCAAAAGAAGAAAAGACATGGGCCCTGCATGCCTAGAAAGTTAGGAGATCATTGCTCAGAAAGGATGCAGGAGAAGCGATTGGGTGCCAAAGCCAGGGGTGTATCATTGACAGAGGCCACAATACAATTCAGCAAGTGCTTTTGTTGAGCTTAATTGCTATAAGTAATTATGCTGATAGAACAGATATTCTGCATTTGAAATTAAGGGATCAGTCAAGAAAGAACTGTTAAGCAAATCATTGCCTTTTGCATCTTCCGGCAGCTTAGTAGTTACCTGCTATTTCTCTCTCTGAAACATCCCTTTGAAAGACTCAGATCCCCTGGTACAACTGAGGAAACTGAGGCACTCCAGTGGCAAGCGACTGGCCTCAGGTCACCTCACAACAGCAGCACTGGAGCTCAGCATGTAGACTTTGTTCCTAACTTTGGGTTCCCGTCACCATACTTCTTTGCCCCTCCTCACATATGCATCCAACTTGAAAACTCCCCCGAAAATTGGTGGGCCAACTTACCAAGAGGGCTGACAGTCACCGTGGTTTCCTCTGTCTGTGTCCAGCTCTTGCCTCGGGACCACTCCACCACTTCACACCTGTAAGACCCACTATCTTTTGGGGCTGATGTGTTCGAGATCACCAGGGTGAAAGTGCTGGAGCCAGTTTTCTTCAGCTGGATGCTCCCCTGTGCACCATGGTCCTGGTAGGCACTGCCCAGGGTTAGAGAGCCGTCCTGCTCCATGGTGGCCACAAGAGCTGGTGGGTCCGGATGTCGCTGCAGATGCCACCACCGTACAGACAGAGGGTTGGTGGTTCCCTGCACCTCGCAAAGGAAGATCAAGGCATCTCCTGCCAATATCTGTGCCGTGCTCGTGGTCATGGACAGGTGCATGCTGCTTTCTGCAAACAACAGATATTTTGTTGGAAAGGACTTTTTTTTTTTTGTCATCAGAGAAAGCCAGAGCTATTGTTACATTAAACAGAGAGACTATATAAAAGTTAGCACTGAAACTGAAAGCAATTGTCTGAAATTTTCGACCTTTTCTTATAACCTTTGAGAGCTTTTCTTTTTAATGGCTTTCCTGGAACTTTGATACATAAAGGAACATTTAAAAATGGAGTCCCACCAGGCAGATTTTGCTTTTCCCACCACCTGCAACATCAAAATCTTCATAGTTGAGCTGCAACAAGGAAACCAAGAATTTCCTCAGAAGCTTTGTTAGAGTGGTTTCTCATAAGTTACCCCCACAAAAACACAGAGAGATGACCTGTGAGATCACACCCTGATGGTAATGACAATGATTTCCCTTTCCTTAGCAGAATCTGTTATCCTGAGTTATTCTGTGATGTTCAAGAGAAGCAGCAGTTTTCCATCCCAAAGACACAGGAGGACCCATTTTCCACAGAATTCTACTAATTTGCCCCAAAACTTGTAGCATAGAGACTAAACTATAGGTTTACACTCTGTTGACAGTTGCTGCATCTGCCATGTTTACCACAGCATCAGCATTTTTTTTCCAGTGTTACCCATTGAAAATTATGGCACATTTGCCCTCTGCTGCAAACAGCAATTGCATTGTGGACAGGTCGCTGCCAAAATGAGGCCAGATCTGATGATCACTGTGGGTTTCACCTAGCAGAGTAGCCAAATAGATTTACTAACCTGTTGGCTTCACGTTGACTTGGAGGCCAGATGACAGTTTTGTTTGGATGCTCTGAAAGTCTCCAGGAGCCTTCTCCACCTCTGAAGCTGAACAGCTGTACACACCTTTGTCCATCAGCCCCACCTCACGTATGATGAGGACGTAAACTGAGTTGCTTTGCTTGAAAGCCTGAAGCTGCCCCTGCCTGGCTCTCTCCTCATATTCCTGCTTCCAAATCAGCACTCCACTTGGGCCAACTGTGGCCACTTCAGTGCTGTTGAGGAGCCAAAACACCTGGAACAGTCTGTCACGGTTGCTCTGGGCTCCCACACAGCAATTCAGCTGCAAGGTGTCGCCTTCGGAGAGGGAGCTTTCAGCAGCAGCAATGGTCACGTGGAAATCTTTACCTGTGGACAAGCGGGAACAAAGTGGGTGTTGGTGGCCCTCAGACTTCCCTTCACCTGACAGCTCCAGAGGACACAGAGTGAGAGATGAGAGGGAGTTTTCTGCTCATTTTCTTTTATTAGAAAAATGATCTAACTGGGAAGTTTTGACCACCGAGCGAAGCTTGTGAGCTCCAGGCTCTAGCTGCTGGTCACAAGAGAATGAAGCATCAGTGCAGCCATGAAGCCAAGGCTCAGCCCTGTCAGGACAGCTGACAGCCCAGCCTTTGGGACAGCACTGAGCTACAGCTATCCTGGCTCAGCTCTAGCATCCAAGCCAAGGTCTGCCCTGATGCAAGGTATCAGGGAAGGCTCACTGCCTTGGCGCCTGGAGCTGTTCTGCCTCACTTAACAAACATCCCTTCAACCAGAAGGGACTACCGAGGGCCTTTGTAACTCAGTGGTCATTTTCACTGAGCTGTTTGTGATGGGAAGTGGCATGCAGTAACTTGCATTCAAGTTCTTTGTCTGAATCTGGGAAAGCTGTTCCTCCCAAACCACAGATGTGACTGCCTACTCTAGGATGGATAAAAACTTTGACAAGTTTTGGATTGATCAGTGCCTAAGACGAGCAGAAATTTCAAGAGCTGTAGAAGGAGGTAAGAAGAGGTGGCGATCACACAGCTTGCATCCTATTCCTAATATCTACCAACTGCAGGTGCCTTCCAAAGAGGATAGCAACAGGGGGAGCACAAAGTTTCCCTTGTTGACCTTTTTGATCAGCCAGTTGCACCTAAAATAAAGGTCTCTGGGTCGTGTAATAGGATCCACCTCCCCTGCAGAGTATTCAGAGCCTTGACCCCCTGGTTGCTCCTGGGGCCCAGCTGAGGCTCCTTCAGCAGGTCTCAGAGCTGAAGCATGGCTGAAGGCAGAGACCTGCCAGGATACTCTGCAGTCCCACACACCATTACCACAGTGTTAGGATGCTGTGCAAAAGCAGAAGCTAGAGCAGAGCCGCTGCTCCCTGGGCAGCCTGTGTCACGCACCCTGCGTCATGCTGATTTATCTCCTTTTCCTTGGGCTGCTGCTGTACTTCCCATGTCTAGCAGGAAGGACAAGGCTGTATGTTATGGGTTCGAGGTAAAGCAGAACAGCTCCCAGACTGCTGCTAGGAGGGCTCGAATAATTTATTGAAAACAAATTAGCCAGTTAATTTAAACATTGGTTCATAAACAATTCATGAACAGGAATCCCAGTCGCTGCAGATATGTTTGGCATTCCCAAATATTTGCTGGAGAGTTTATAGAAACCGTTGGAGCACATGACCGTGGTCAGAGCAGAGGCCTGGTTTTACCCGGAGTGGGGCCCAAGGCCCTGGCTCTCCTGTACCGCGATGGAGCCAGCCTGCCGCCCCGCAGATGTGACTGAGGGCTTGTGTGCCTCAAGCCAGGCCCGCCGCCTCCTCCAGCAGTATCAGCCAGTCTAATACAACCACCTGGTTGCCTTTTTATAGTCATTGCACCCTTGATGGCTACTGCAGTGCAAACATTAAGCTTTCATAGGGTTTCTCTGTTTCTAAATGAGTGCGTGGCACTGGCACCTGAAGCCGCACACTACCAGTCACATCGAACCCTTTTAAACAACGAGCGCAGGAGAGTATGCCGACTGCAACTGCTTACTAGGCAGCAGCAGGCATAGAAAGCCTGCATGCAAGAGTACATAACGAGGGGAATAAAACTTGTCCAGCTACCCAGCTTTCGGGGATCAGGCTCTTACAGGGGGAGGCAACTCGCTCCCAGTATATTGCCTGCTTGAGCTGCCCCCACCTGCTCCTTGCTCATCTGCTTCTTTGGTTTCCTGCCCTGACTCAGCGCGCTCGCACGCGACACCTGCTCCCCTCGCTGCTTCTCTTCGGCAGGCTCCTTCCCCCACCGCCCTGCTTGCCTTTGTGCGCAGGCCAGCTCGCCGAGGTGGCTGCCCCCACCGCCCTCTCTGCTGGCCGCCTTGTTCCACAAAATGCTGTCTGACTAAAGAGTTTTTCTCCCGCTTTTCCTGTACGGCCGCCCCCTAGGCCCCATGGAGAGCTGAGCCCTGTGCCCGGAGCTCGCCTCGCTGCAGCCTCCAAAGCCTCCTCTGCTCTTGTTGCCATCCTGCTGTGCAGCTTGTGAGAAGCCCTTCATTCTCCACACAGTGCCAGTACCCACGAGGGCAATGCTCTCGTCAGCCTCCAAATCCCTGGGAGGGGACTTGCTCATTTGAGTTCACAGCACTGTATATTCTGTTAAAGGGCTTTGATTAGGCAGCAGCTTTGTCTTGGATGCTGCATAGTCGGCAGTGTGAAACTTTGGTGGGAAAGAAAGATTTTCCCTTCCTCCAAGCACGGCTAACCACATGCAGCTGGAGGAAGCCCAGGGTGAGGAACGACAGCAAGCAAAGGGCTTGCAGCAGGAGGGAAGGCAGGCAGGGGTTTTTGAGGAGCAGGGAACAAACATGTGGTGGTGTAAACTTCTCAAAGCAACTGAGAAAGAGGGTTTCCCAGCAGCCCCAGGCAAGTGCATGTCTAGTTTGTAGAAGCCAGGAGCCACAGGAGGCTGTTGGGAAGAGAGAGACAGATGGAAAAGACGATGTGTGGGATTACAGAGTGGAGTCAGGGAGGATAGGTGGCACTGGCAAGAGACTGGTTTTCAGGCTTTGCTTTCTTTTAATCTTAGTACACCCATAGTAACAAGTCTAAATAATTAATTCTGCATGAGGCTAGAGCACAAACTAGAAGTTTGGTGCAGCCACTCGAAAGCACAGTCTGACCCACAGTCCCAATACAGCCATATATGCAAAACTAGGAGGTGAAGGAGCAGTCTAATAAGTGGCAACTCCAGTTGCTCTGGAGCCCAGCAGGCTTCTGACGACTTAGACAGGCAAGCCACCTGCAGCAGACGCTGCTGAGTGGTGCGACACCGTCAGCACACCCCCTGCCCCTTAGCGCCCCGGCTCGTGCGGCGGGCAGTGACTGCAGCGTACCGCGGTCTTGGGGACAGCGAGACCCCAGGGCAGTCTGACAACCCGTGTTTCCGCATACTTGAGCTCTGCATCACCAAGGAGCTGCCTTGCTGCAGGCACACGCTGTTCTCTCTGCTAACACCTCGGCTTAAGTTTGCCACGCTACATGACTGCCCTCAGCATCAAAAATGTCAGTGCTGGCTGGCCTGAAAGGGATTGAACTGCACAAGCCTCTGAAGCGAGAAGTAGCAACCCCACGTCGTGGGCTGCCGCAGCACCGTACCCCATCTGCCCCCTCAGTGCCTGCCTGCTGCAGCTGAAGTCACACTGCAGGGTCTGCTCACGTGGCCAATGACTACTGCCAGCGTGAGTGCAGTGCAGGTAACCCTGCTGTCCGCAAGAGCTGGGTACCATCAGTAACCCCATGGGGCAGAAGCAGGTGCTAAATGCTCCCCTCGGGTGACCTACACCTGCCAGTGGGCTACTGCGTGATTGCTGCATATCTGGAGGACAACAGCTCCCTAGGACTGGAAGAGCCATCCCCACCAGGGGTTGAGCAGCAGCACAACCCACTCACCCTTTGAGCTCTGGACTTGCAAACTGTCAAAGCTCTATCTCATGAGGAGAGAAAAAAAAATGCATTGCATTAACTGGCTCAGCCCCAAGGACACTGTGGTGAAAACAACAAAAGCAACACATGCCTTAACAGTCATCAGGGCATTGCTCTGCCCTAAGCCGGGGTGCTGGATACTCCGGGCTAGTGCTGCCCAAGGACCCCTGACATCTGCATATGCCTCAGGAGCTGCAAATTCTCCAACTCGTGGGACACAGACTTGCTCCAAGAGGAGAAAAAGAACAATTTGTTTTCTCTGATGCTCAGATGCTGTTTGTCTTAGAGTTTCAGCCTGCTGGCTTTGGTTCAAGTATGTGGGAGCGGAGAAGCTCTCACGATACAGTCTAGTGATTGCTAAAGGGCACTGAATGCTGCTGTTCCATGAGCTTCAGTGCAAGTGAATTGTAGCTGAAGTGGGAGCCTGCAAGGGCCTTACCTAGGCTTGTGACCGTCAGTGACATCTTCTGGGTTCGCTTCCGGGAGATGTCCGTCCATGTCTCATCAGGGTCCTCAATCCACTCAGCTGCCTCACAGTAGAGCTGGCCTTGATCGGATGGCTTCACTGCCCTGATGGAGAGCTTGTACGTGGTATTCCCAACCTTGTCCAGCCGCACGTCGCCCATCAGAAACCTCTGCGTGTAAGAGGCCCCTGGCCTCAAGACAAAATCCTTGGACAGAGTAAGGATCTCCTCAGCATGGCTGTCTTCTGCTTCCTGAAGATGATACCAGCCGACAGAGAGGTGCGTGTGCTGGCTGGTGGACTTTGACACCTCGCAGGTGAGCTCCATGGAGTCGCCTTCAGCACGAGTCAGGGCCTGGGGCTCCATAGACACCGAGAGGGTGTCTTCGATCACTGAGCAAAAGGAGAAAACCCAGTGGTCACTGGGAAACCAGAGCCAAGCGCCCGGGGATCTGACAATGTGGCAGAAATATCCTTCACAAACAACTGACAAGGCCTCGATCAGATTATGCCAGAGTGTGAAGTGCTTAAAATCTCAAGCAGGAAAGAAAGCAGAGTGAATCTCTCTGTAGTGCTTTCTTCAGTCATGCTATGGGCAGTATTAACCAACCCCAAATTGATTAACATCCAGGCCCTTTCTGCCCCTCAATGCAGGCTGGTGCAATAGTAAAGGATAAAGGAGAAAACAGGGATGAATACAAAGCATTTACAACTCAAACTGCTGCAGTACCGTGTAGGCTGAAGACCTTATAACAGGGCTTTTTCCTTTGCTTCTACCCGCAGCTGCATCCCCTCTCCCAGTGCTCTGCTAGCTCTGTTCCCTCCTGCTATTCCTGTCACGTCCCACACCCTTCACCTGAGAGGACCCCACCAGTTAATGGGATGGTAGGAGCTTTTAGGCTGCGAGCAAGTACTTGGCTGTGAAATGCTGTAGCTGCCATCAGGAGCTGAAGTTAAAGTCAAGCCCTGGGGCAGCACACGCTTCCTTTCCCCCCATCCTCATGTGTAGGCCAGCAATCCTACAGCATGGACCGGAGAAAGAAAATTTGTGCCTGCCATCTTTATTATTTGCTCTTTCCACCAGCCATCCTTCTGAGAAGAAGTGACCCCTTGTCCCCACATGTGCTCTCTGCAGCATGAAGCAGGAGGTGGCAGGAAACTCACCCATATCCCTGCATGCCTTATACACCCGCGCTCTGTTACCACCACGCGTGGAACAGCGTGTCTGCCCCGGGGACTTTGCACCTTGAGAGCGACAGCAGGGAAAATGCAAACTCAAGTCACCGTGGCCCAGCCGCCGCAGGAGAGAGGCAGCTCACGCGCCGAG